ACAACCAATCTGAACTCTACAGACATCTTCGCAGCTGAGCTTGAAAACATTATCAATGCAATCCAGTGGGCTCAGAACAAGGTAACTACTCCTCTCATTCTCCATACCGATTGCAAAGCAATTACTGAGGCATTATACACGGACAGAGCTTGCATTAGCCCAACTCTCAAAAAGTTCAAGGATCTGGTTCAGGAGACGAATCTTATTGTTAAGCACGTTCAAAGAGATTTCAATCAAGCGTCACACCATCTCGCTAGATTTGCTATTATGTATTCCCACTTTGTTGAAACTCTACATTTTTGTTTGTTTGCCTAGAGTGGTTAGAGGCTGTATTAAACTGGATGTATCAATTCCCGTGATTATCAATAAATAAAGCTTTATTTAAAAAACAAATATATATATATATATATATATATATATATATATATATATATATATATATATATAGGGATTGACTCTAGTGAGATGATACCTTAAGGTGCGATGACATGCTTCGGTCATATGATGCAAAGCTCACCACACTACACTACAAAGCTCACCAATGGACAATGCAAAGCTCACCTGGAAATAAAAGAAAGCTCACCACTTTGAACCCCAAAACTCACCTTTTTTTAATTTTGAAAATTAAAAAATTAATTAAAAATAAAATAGCAACACCGGTCAACCACCGGTCAACGGCGGCCGCAGGCGGCGGAGCAGCGGTGGTGACCGGTGGCGGTCGGCGACCGGAGTATGGTAGCAGCGGTGACCGGCGGCAGCGATTGGCGGCGGCGGCGACCAGCGAACGGAGACCGGCGCGCCGGCGGGAGACTGGCGGCGGCAGGCGGCAGTCAATGCTGGAGTCAACAATCAAAGTTTAGTCAGCACCCTTTCCTTTGATTTTATTTTTTCAAAAAAAATTCAAAGTGTTGAAAAAAATATAATGAGCTTTGCCTTATACTTTGGTGAACTTTGTAGTTGTGCTTGGTGATGTTTGCAGTGGGCAGTGGTGAGCTTTGCATCATCTGATCGAAGCAAGTCATCGCACCATAAGGTGTCATATCTCACTGAAGTCAATCCCATATATATATACTACCTCTGTCCCATTGTCTTTGTCCACTTTTGACTTTTGAAACTGTTCATCTAAGCACTTTGACTCATCAAATTCTCTTAATGTGTAAGCCTAAAAATAGTCATGTGTGATCTTGTTTGATTCGTCTTAACATATAGATTATTAATATATAATTTGTATAATTTTTTAATATACAAATTACAAGATAAAATGGATTAAAGAAGTGCATTGAATGGTGTGCCAAAAGGTAAGTGGACAAAGACAGTGGGACAGAGGGAGTATATATATATATGTGTGTGTGTGTGTGTGTGTGTGTGTGTCTATATATATATATATATACATACATATATATATATATATATATATATATATATATATATATATATATATATATATATACTTTGGATCAGATTTCCCATCGATCAGATTTCCATACCCAATTTACACTCAATGACTTTGGATTTGTCAACTCCCACCCCCAGCGATCCATCGGCTTCCGGCAAAACCTTCGTAGGAAAAAGGAACCGCTCAATCGAAGAAGAAGATGGCTATTCCGCGAGCCAGATTTAAAGGATAAGAAAGATGCTTATGTTTTCAGTGATTCTCGTTTAGTTCTCAATAATTTTGAAGCTCAATCCTCCGAACTCAAAGCTAGCAGAAACCTTAGATTCAAATTCAACACAATCTAACGTATTTGAGTTTTTTCACTCATTTTACAATCAAAATTTCTGTGTCTTTGATTTTGGAAATAGAAGATATCATTTATGGTTTGATTTGGACACCATCAAATGGTTATTGGATTCGTTGTCCCTTATTTCCAATCGGAGAGGTAGGGAGACTTCTCTGACTGAAGTGAGTAGAAGATTAGATCTTAGCTTGGGTTCAAACAACAAAGGTTATTACATCAGAATCTTAGAGACAAGGAGAGGGTAAGAGGTTTTTAATCATCCCTGTTGATTCCAACAAGGATGGGCCGAAAATTTTCATCAGGGCACTCTCTAATTTTATTCATAGAGCTACTTCAGTTTGCCCTACACTGCCATCGGTGGAGGATAATGTGCAGTTCCCATTTGTTCCTATAGAACAAAATGATTTAGAGCCTGATACCCAGACTAAGCACACCAAGGGGCCACCAACCCTGCATACACAAATTCTACTATCAAATGATGTTGAAGAACCAGAAGGGAATAACCACTCAGCTCCTACAAGGGAAGGTGTTATATCTCAGCTCCGGGTTTTATAGTTAAAACCTCTTTATTTGCAGGGAAGGGGAGATAATCGATTGTCCTGAGTGGATAATCGATTGTTTAGGGCTTCAGGTTCTTGGGCAGTTTTCTGGGGATGTTCTAGGAGGGGGGGATAATCGATTTACAGTAGCAATAATCGATTATTTGACAGTTTTCTAGGCATGAAGAAGGGTGTTTTTGTGGGGGAATGGACTGGAAATATATGGAGTTGATGAGGGAGTTCTTTTGGGTATTTTAATGGAAGAAAAGAGTGAGATTAAGAGGAGAAATGGGGAGGTATGAAATGGAAGAAAATTAGGGATGGATAAACCAAGTTGGTGTTTAAGAGATATTACACACTCTTATCCTAACTTGGGGTTTGAATCTAGAATTTAATTAAGATATGACACACTTAATCAAATATCTAGAACCTAAAACTCACACTTAAGATAACCACTCTTAAGATATAGAATTAGGAATTTGGCTAAAATAGCATCACACTATTTTATAAATACTCAAAGAGTAAAAGGAGTTTTT